TATTCAATATAATTGCGTACATGTAGATGGTTGTTTTCTATAGCTGAAAAAATTACGAAACGTAACGGAGAACCATGAAAAAATTGCTGAAGGTAGTTCAAACACCAAGCGAAGTTTCGATCAATTCAGTAAGTGCTTGCATTTGCCTACAAAATGTAGAAAAATAGAAAACACTACCGGCCGTTTACGATTTTTCCGTTCGTCATTTCAATTCAGTGTTCAAGACATACATGCATTTCGTTTCCCATGATATAACAATTGCTCTTCCGCCGGGAATAAAAAAATCTATATTATATTTGCGAAAGTCGGCCACTTTGACTTTGGTCTCCTAAAACTTACGAACCACTTAATTTCGAATTCGAAAAAATTAACGGTGGTTCAAAACCATTTAAAGGGTGCGCAGTCGTATTAAGGAGACTAAGTCAATAAAGTTTAATTTTCAGTTTTTCATTAGTTTCGTTTAGATCTAATCTTGGGAAAGTCCATCTTCTATGACGCCATTGTAAAAAAGCAATGCGCACTGTCCACAATGACTTGACGATCGATTCTCCTGAGTCCGTTCATCGAACGGGGTACCAAGCTAGTACAATAATATATTCTATCAGATGCACCTTTCAAACCACATTGTGGACAGATTCCATTGAATTACGTGTGTTATCAGTAATATCAGACACCACAACTTAGAAGGTCGCTAACCTCAGAAGTACAACGTTCTATCTGCTCCCTACCTAGTTTGGGAAATCTGACGTCACAGATTTTGAGCTTCACAACAGGTCAAGCTTTTTCGAATACAATTCTTTGAATGATAACGAATCCATATTATCCTACGATTTTTACAGAGCAGATAGAACATTTCGTTTTTTATCTCATGGTCTTAGTTACTCAACACGGCCAAAAATGTGAGATAAAACGTTGTAATTCCGAGTTTGCGACGTGTTATCAGACATCAAAACGCATCACGTCTTCTCAAACATGGAAACACATCATAGTATGTGTTCTCACTCACCAAAGCTCATCACGTGTTCTCAGATTTGGAAACTCATGAATATTCATTTGACTTATCCCACAGCTGCGCAGGGCTTTGGCTCGCCTGACAAGAGGAGAAGGAGAAGGAGAAGGAGGAAAGGGAGGAGAAGGAAAGGGAAAACCCGAGAAAGAGGGAGTCGAAGAAGAGGAAGACCTGATGTGGGGCGGAGTGAACTGGCCACTGGTGCACAGACTGTGCTTAGCCATGCATGGAGGCGAAGGGGAAGAGTCGGGTGGAAAGTCTGGGGAAGAGGGGAAAGGGCGCGAGATGTAAGGTGGTGGTTCAATTCCGACGACACACAGGCAGGATCTCCGACCCAAGGTGCGCTCGACATATCGCGGGTGTTGCCATGACCGTTAGTGCACAGGGAAAAGGCAATGGGGGAGAGAGAGAGAGAGAGAGAGAGAGAGAGAGAGAGAGAGAGAGAGAGAGAGACGCGACAGATGGAAGAACAGAAACGATGGGTTGAGAACATAACGTGACGGATCGACAATATTTCTGTAAAAAGGCAAATTTTATTCACATCTCCGTTAACAGAACCAGAAGACGAATAACATAACATTCAGAAGGAAAACAGATAATAAATGGAACAAATCCAGCTCCTAAAAAGAGAATGTCCAGGAAGCTACATTCTTATCATTTATGATGTTACTCATTCTACTTCGGGCCAATTTGATTATGAACGATTTTAGGACGCCGTTCAGGATCAAAATGTGGACGATTTCGTCTTTCGTTTTCTCCTGTCTCTTCTTAATCTTGGTATCATTTTTATTGATTCCATCTAGGTTTTTTTCTGAGCACTACGTGGTCATGACAACCTAATGTTTACTCTGTGACTAAAAACCCATTTTGAAACCTGTAGCAGTAGTCTCCCCCCCCCCAACCCTCCCTCCCCACTCCCAAAATATCTTTTTATATCTTTTTAAAAGTATTCAATTGTCAATCAGATGGCAAAGCAATAAAACTCTTTACCTATTTTTTCATAACACAAGAGTGGCGTCTGTTTCTGGATGTTGTTTGTGGTCCTTTGTGTGTTTAAGTTTAAGCAGGTTTCTTGTTTTACGAAATGTGTCCTGCGTTTGTAATTGAAACAGAGTTTGTTTGTTAGAGTAAGGTTTTACAACGCTCGCAACTGCATAAGGTCATATGAGCGCCAAAGGGGTGGATGTCAACAGAGAAGTCCAAACAGAGAATCAGACTTACATTGCTCACTTCTCTCGCCTCAACAGCAGCACAAAGTCTGCTTCGACTATCAAATTCGGCTCCGTAAAATGCCCAAAATTGACGAGCGCCAGATTCCACCACGTGGCGACACATGAGGTGGTGTGGGTGGCCTAGTAGCCAGGGTTACCTGCCCCGACATTGTGAGGCGGAAGGGTTCGGGGTTCGAGGCTCACATGCTTCCAAAGTTGTGTCATTGGGACAGGCAGTTTACGAGAATGTTCCCATCTGATTCTGTCCTCGTGGAGATGAGCAGGGGGCTCTCGTGGCCTAAAGGTTATAGTGTTCGCCTCTCATTTAAAGGTCCCAGGTTCAAAATCGGGTAGCGACTGAAACATTTTCTTCTCTAAAATTGTCTCCCTTCACCTCCTTTCCTGCTCTCTGGCAATGCCTTCTCTCTACTTTCGTCTCCACTTTCTGCCCCCACCCCGTCACCTCTTTTGCCCCCTCCTCTGGGCTCCTGACTCTTTCTGAAGCCTTTCTACTGCTACTCCTTGGCTCCTTCTTACTGCTGTCTTTCAGCCACACTCCTGATCTTCTTGTAGGAAAGATCTGCACCTAGTCTTCTCGGACAAAGGCGAAAAATCTCGGTGGTCTCGTGTGCAAGTTGGGCACGTTAAAGATCCCTTGGAGGTCTAAAGTCGATAAGAGTAGGTTTTGGCCGCCACCAGGGCAAAATTCGAAATTTCCTACCAACTGAAAATGTTTAATGTCTCCCGCGCGCTCATATGACCTGACGCAGTTGCGAGCGCCGTAAAATACTTTTTCAAAAATGAAAAGGAGATGAACAGAGAGTTCGGAGATCCCAAAATAGCTTTAGAGTGTTGTAAAGGACGTTCCAGGCTACGATATTTTATACCAAAGAGGTTATCTCACACCGATATATATGCAGTCGACCACGGATGAGTTGATGTCTTCGGGGGAGTGAAAAAAAGATCAACTCATCCGAAGTTCGACTTAACCGTTGAGATCAATTTGTAAAGAAAAAGAGATGGTGGGATCCAAGAAAAAGATCAACTTCACCGAAGATCAACTCAAATGAGTTCAACACCAGAGGAGTCGACGGTGTAGTACATGTACTAAACTAATCCCCC